GACTGCATTTACATCTTTTACCATCATTTACAACACAATCTCATTCTCTTCTTAAACTTCTCTCACATTGTCTGTCTTTCCTGCTCTGAGGCAATCATCAGTAATATATTATGATAAGATGTATGAATTTTGTCAGTTATTGTTTTAATTTATTTGTTTAACTAACTTGCTCATACATATGTAATTACACAACACCAAGCTGCAAATACAACTTGTATGAATATAAGAAAGGATAGCAAGATGAATCATTACTTCTATAATTATTTTCACACTAATATTTCATAAAAGAATAAAGGTTGCTTCTTTGTTTAAATTTTTTCCACAATTTTTTTATTGATTGTGAATTTCACATTATACATCTCAATTCCACTCATTTCTCAGGCCTTTCAGATCCGCCTTCCATGCTTGTAACTTCCCTCCCCGAAAGAAAATAGAAAATAAAAATTACAAAAATGTCTCATGGGGGAAGCTGCAGTGTCTCACGGTGTGTCACACGGTGTACTCTTTAAGCAAACAGCTTTACTTGTGAATGTTCACTGCAATGAGTCATTGGGCTGGTTCAAGGCCTCTGGGATCTTCTACACTATTGATGCTGGATCCTCCCTGAGACTCCTCTGGGCTATCCTGTTGCTGCCTTGAGCCATGGAGATCCTGAAATTTTGGTTCTGCAGGAGCTGCCCCTCCCTTAACTCCAGCAGCTAACTAGATGTGCTTTGTGCTGTGTGGACCAGCTCAAAACCCAGAATCCAGGCCTGAGTGGTAGCTGAGTTGGTCACCAATGCTAGCTCTTCATGAAGCCTAGGCGAGGGGTGAGGCTGACTTTTCTGTCTCCACACTCTCAGGGCTAGCTGTTCCTCACCCATATAACCTGGGCCAACTCTCTGACACTGACAAGATCCAAAATGAGGGGTGAAAATCAACTTTCCCACACTAATGAGGCCATCCTCATCCACACCTGCGATTAGGCCCAACTCTTCCTAGCTGCTCAGGCAAGTTGCAGGGCGAGCCTACCCTAGTCCTGTGGCCAACAATGGGTGGGTTTAGCTCTCCCATGCCCACACCAGTGGGGCCAGCTATGCACACTGCCCAGAAGAAGGGCAGGTCCATGTTTTCAGCACTTGTATCACTGCTGGTGTGACTGTGTGGTGTTTGGTGAGGGTTTGTACCAGTTCAGCACCATACTCAGACAACAACATGGCCTCAAATGGGAGCCCAGACCAAGGAGGTCCATGTGACACAGACCCCTGCTACAGAAGGGCCATGAACTCAGCCATGGTCCTCTGCAGCAGCACAGGCTTAGATAACACCATGGTCTCTGATGGCAGTAAAGATCTCTCTCATCAAGCTGTTTCTTGCTGCCTTCACATCTCCTGATCCTCCTCTCTTCACAGAGAACAAACTGCTCCCACTTCACTTTCTTGTTCACCTCTCCACCACATATTTGCTCATCATAGTGCTGCATGTCCTGAATAACAAACGCCGAGGCCTCTCCTTAGATTTTAAATTTTAATTTTCGTTTTTAATTGTTTGATGAAAAAGAGGGTTTATTTCATCTCATAGCTCGCTTTCCATTGCTGAGGAAAAGTAGGCCAGGGGTTCAAGGAAGGATTCAGGAGGCAGGACAGAAGCTGATACCATGGAGGAACTTGGTAAGCACTTGGTTATTCCTTATCATTTGCTCAGCATTTTCTTTTCATTATGTCTTTTATTTTGTGAGATTATAATATAATTGCATTATTTCTTGCTTCCCTTCCTCTCTAATGAAGATATGCCTTGACAGAGTAATCAGTGAATGTTCAGAAGGCCGTTCATAAACTGGAATGATGCTGAAATGTAGTTCATGTGCCTTCTCAATGAGCTCTACTCACTCTTCATTTTCTTTCCTGTCTTTACAAACTTTCGATAAATGTATAAGAAGAATTTTATGGAAAGAAAAGCTATGACTGCCACACAGGCCAGCAGGAATCCAATCACATCCAGAGAGTTGTACTGGTACCAGGTGAGGTTGTGTGCGAGTGGTCTCAGGTGCTTGGCCCCTTTGTGGCGCATGACAAACTCAATCCAGAAGATGACTCTGTCCAGGGGTTTCATGGGCTGGTCATGATGAATAGTTGACAACCACATAGCATTCTTTTTATAACTGAAATAAGGAAAACAGACATTAACTTACATAAGAAATGAAAAATGCAAATATTTAAATTTTTGAGTAAACATTAAAGATAATCACACAATATAGAAGGAAAATGTATTTTGTTTCATGTTCATGACTGGGAAGATCTTCAGAGGCATGTCTGATTTCCTTGAGTATGAAGGATTAAGCATGTAAAAAGAAAAATAATAAAGATCAAATATCCCTAGAGTTTAAAGACAGCTAAGTCTTAAATACAAAATAAATCAAAATAAGATATTATTTGAATATATAAAGCTTCAGTTACCCATAAGCAATTATTAGTAAATTTTGTGTACAAAATGTGTACTAGTGTCAGGATGTATAAGTAGAAGCCAAATCACTATCAAGTCCTCATAGTGGTGCATATCTGTGTAAAGTTGATAATGATTGAAATGAGATTTTTATGTTACATGTATCAATGAATTTCCTGGTTCTGATTAAATAGCTCTAACAACTGCTCTCATTGATTTTATGTTTTTCTAATTAAGGTTATCAAATATTTGATGAAATTAATAGGAAAAATAATTTTTGTCTCTGTCACTGTACTGAAATTTTTATTACTTTTATTATTCTTATTATAAAGTATAATCACAATAAATTTTTGCTATTACTTTTAAATATGTATGTGAGAGTGTAAAGTTTGTAAATATGTGTGTGTGTGTGTGTGTGTTTGTGTGTGTGTTATGAGAGCTGCTAGAGTTAGTGTTACAGATGTTTGTAATCAACTGATGTAAGTGTTGGGAACAGAACTCTGGTCCTCTGCGAGGGTAGATCACCCATTTTCCACAGAGCCATCTTTCAAGTCTAATTTTTTCTCCTATTATTGATATTTATTTTTTGTTAGCAATGCCATTTTAGAAGTATGAATTGTAAAAATTTCACACTGAAGATCAAATACAATGTGTACTTGATTCTAATGCTGAAATAATTATTGATGAACATCTAAAGGAGAAGAGTTATAAAGACAAGTCATCAACTCTGATGTCAGTTTGATGCAGGAGAATTAGCAATGATAATAAGGGTAACATACTGCCTTTTTATTTACAAAGCAAGATGAGAAAATTATTTATTTATTCTCATTAAATGATTATTATTTCTTAGTATACATGTTACATCTATTAAAATTTAATTTGTAACTTATCTGATTAGGTAATGAGAAGAGGGAAAGCACCTTAGGGAAGGGTGAGGAAGGTTAATATAAAAAAAGTAAGACAATAATAAAGTACCAATAAAAATATCAGAAAAAGTCATAACAAATTTTACTTTTAATAATCAATCCAAATCCCCCATAACAAATAAAACTTTATGTATAAACATACATATATAATTTTAATGCTCTTTTCCTCTTCTGGACTGATGCTGCTCAATTGAAGAGTCAAAGAGCACCTAACATACACCTCAATACCAAATATAAATAATCCTCTTTATAAGAGGTTTGCCAGGTTTGTTCAAGAAACTTCCTAAAAATCGAGCCTATTGATGTTGCTTATTCTCTCAAGGTGGAAGGTAGGTTTCTATTGCTGAATGAGCATTCAATTAAGAAGCATAGCCCTGAGACCTGAAGTAAGAATAATATGATAAACAAATAACAACATATATATATAAATATATATATATATTTCAAAAGGTTATACTCACGAAGGATTATCTATGACGGCCTCCAGTGCACTGAGCAAATCTGACCTTGTCATTGTTCTGAAATCTAATGAAATAGCTGCTCCTTTGGCTACTATGTAGGCAATGTTATCATGCTGCTCTCCAAACAAAGGAATGCCAATCATAGGGATTCCAAAATGGATCGCCTCATAGATTCCATTGGCGCCACCATGAGTTACAAAGGCTTTGGTTTTTGGATGACCTAGAATAAGATGAATTCAGATTGACATTAATTAGCAGTCTTAGACATGAAATAAGAAATGTTCACTATCAGGAACTGAAAGGAGATTTTCTACATGAAGATTCATTGTACTTAATTCAATTTATTAAATTAGTTTACCATACAACTTTTGTTTCCCCTCAATTCTCATCCAAAGAAAACCTATGTGAAGATTCTAACACTCATAAACTTGATGAAATCTTTTCTTCTTTAATGGTGAGAAGAAATTAAATTTACAGAGATATATTTTGCAGAATTGCTTTGGACTTGAGAGTTGAACTGTGAAATCCTGGTTCCCACTGAAACACATGACATTCATGGTAGTTAAGAGAAAATGAGTATTAAAAATGACCAACTGCATACCAGAACTTGTTATCTTAAATAAATAATACATTCACTAAGTGTAATATAAAGGATTTTGAAGTCAACCAGGACAGGTTTGTTCTGAGTGTCTTACCTAGAAGGTCATTCTGGGGGAGCCATTTGTAAACTCTGGTATTGGGTCCTAAGGTATCTGGTGTTTTGCCCTCAAATCTCCAAAGAACCTGTTAAAGATTAGATAGTCTTTATTGCTGGAGCCAAATTTTGCATTATACAGATTAAATAAATTATATTTAGTGTTTTATATATATATATATATATGTGTGTGTAACAGCATTCATAAAAATGGTGCTATGAATTTGAAAGAGAGCAAGGAGAATGGATATGAGAGGGTTTGGAGGAATAACAAAAAGGGAGAAAGATCAATTGTATTATAATTTTAAAAACAGAAATTATAAAAATAGATCTTTGTATATTTAAATATAATATACGTGAACACATCCAATAATAGGGATGAAGATTTCAGAAAGGGTTAATACTGAGAACTCTAGAGAGACTGAGAAGGAGACTGTGACAGAAGTGTCTGTGCTTATTTTTACATTCAGACAGGTTGAACATAATCATTATTTTTCTAAGCAAAGATGTTTAGACTAATGAGATATTTAAAGATGTATGAAAATATTTAATACACTCCCACAGCGATATAATTCAATCTCAGAGAAGAATTGCAAAACTTTAATAACTCATATTTATATGAATATATTTTGACAGTTCTAATAGTCTATTTTTAACACTGATATATTTTAAATGCTTTGGGGGGTTTACTTTTATTCACCTGTTCTATGTTATTTTCATTAAATTTCAAGTTGTTAAACTTTGATTCCTTATTCGTGACAAATATTCCCGATCCATAGTTCTCTCTGGTCTGAAGTTCTTTGAAACAATACTATTGTGTTGACCAATAGGAATATGGAATCATCTGGCCCATTCAGGGAATAATTTTACATAGTGTAGTTATGGAACATGACCCAGGAATGGAGTCACATAAGCAGAATTCTGAGTGCTTGAGAGAGCATTCTGAGATAACAAGACAAGAATCTTGTGACCTCAATTTCTTCAAAATGCTAGATTTTTTTGTAAGTATGTTTCACCCTCCTTCCAGGTATAACAGATAAGAGTGGGTGTATTTCAGGTTAACCACTACTGCTTGCTATTGTCATCGAGATAAAGATTAAACTGTCCCTTGTGCATTTCTGCTGTGGTTCGATAAAAATACCCCCCCAAAAGAGTGGCAATATCAGGAGGTGTGGCCTTGCTGGATGAAGTTTGTCACTGTGGGGTGAGCTTTGAAGTCCCTTTCCTCAAGCTTATCTCAGTGTGACTTTCAGTCAACTTCACAATCAGAATTGCTAATGAAAATATTCAGTTATTTTCATTAGTCCTAGAAAGGACTAGGGAAGAGTTACAAGGGATTATGGAGTCTATATTCCCACGTGCACAAAAATATAAACATGACTTGGGATTTCATAGAAGTCAAAATTATATAAAATTTAGTGACCCTGTCTTGTCTGTTTCTAAAGAAAAATATGGGATCTTCACAAGGTTTCCTGAGAACAGTGAAGAATAGGCAGATGGAGATCTCTTTTTCTCCCTGAAATTCTCCTAGTTTTATAATTAAAAAATAATCTGGTAAATGGAGATGGTTGATTGACTTATGAAATATTATTGCCACCATGTGGTCAATGGGAACTTTACAACCTGGTTTACCTAAAGACAGCTATTGTTGGCATTTAATAATTTTGCATTTGTAAAATTGGTTTTTTACTAAACATATTCATCATCATAAAGGTACATTTTGGCTTTTCTGTTCCTTCGTTCAACCATAAAGGATCTCTGTTCTGATATTAATAGACTGTATTAAACCAAGACATGACAAAATCCCCTATTATGTGTCAATACTGTGCTGCAAATGATTTAGAGTCTGTGAGGGAGGCCTTCCCTTGAATGGGCCTAGATTTGATAGTTTCAAACCTTGGACAAATTGCTAAGGTGAATATTTAATATTGCAAATTTGATCTGTCTGCCTGGTTTTCCCTTCATTCTTCAGTCCCTACCTGTGGGACCCTCCTGCCTGACATACCCTGCCCCCTATCTTGAACTCTCCAGCCCAATGGACTGGGCTGTTCTTCCCTACATAATCCAACCATTATGATATCCTGCCCTTTTTCATGCCTTTCCTCTCCAGGCTGCTTCACCTGATTCCCCTCTCTACCCTCATCCTTCCCCTCACCCCTCTCCTCACATGGCACAGCACAGGCTGGTCATGAACTCTCTGCACTCTTTGAGATGTCGCTGTCTCTGCCTCGGGCTATGTTCTTTCATATATCTATAATAAACCTTCTTCTGCAGCATACAAAAGAACAGTTACATCCTTTCCTTACATTTTTATTTTTTTTAATTCAATATTATTAATTATATGAATGATGTCTTGTTAGTCTTCCCCAAAGAGAAAGAGCTACAATCCATCTAGGACATGACTCAGGATGTACTACATAAATATGGGTTAATTATTACACCTGAAAAAGTACAGCAATGAAACAACTGTGTAGTATCTGGTGTAACTAGTT